CCTCAGAACGTCCCCGTGCTGTTAGGGTATAATGTAACCTAAGAATATTTTTGCTTATCACTTGAACAGTCTTGTAGGCAAGCCATGTATTTAGGTAGCAAGTTGACATTTAAAAACGTCTTATTGATGTTAAAGACATTATTAAAAAATTATTAAAAAGTTATTTGACGTTACTCTGCGTATAAATAAATTTCAAATATGAATCATATGTAATTATGTATGATTATAATTTAATACAATTATATATTCACACTTTTTTCCCAGCTATTTATTTTATTTGTTAATAAAATTTGAATAAATTTCATCTTAAGGGTAAGATTAAACAAGTCACTTAGTGTTCTATCTTGCCCTTTTTCTTTGTATCCTCCCAGATAGCACAGAGAATTTTAAAAAATTCAAAAAATTCTGTCGTATATTATAAATATGTCACCAATTCTGAGTTTATTTTCAGATGCCAAAAGAATGTTTCAAGGTTCAGTTCAATGAAAAGAATTCTGTTTGCATCTAGAAATGAGCTAAAAATTGGTAACATACGACTGAATTCTTTTTGAATCCTCTATGCTATCTCAGCTGTCTTGCCTGCAAAATTGTTTAATTGACGAGTAATAAGTTTCTAGATTAGAATATCATTTTATGTATATTTACCCACAAAGGTCGAAGTAACAATTTTATTAATAGATGTTACTTGATGTGATAAGCAAACAATTATATGCTCACGACTATTATACACTCGTCAACAAAATCATGGAATAGATAAGTTCATTTCGAAATTTTGCACAATTTTAAATGAGTATAATACCGCGAAACATTATCGTATTTGGAATCTTTTTTCTTTTATTTTAAAGAGTGAAGTCTGTACTTTAAAGAGCATTCATCCGATTTTGAATTTACTCTCTTCCCTTCTCGCAGTCCTTTCAAAAGTAAATATGTGTCGCGTCCCCAAAAAATTGCACAATTTGACATATCCTATGGGGTGGACTAAATTTTTTTGTTATGATAATCATCATCAAATATAGATCTTTTGCAATTTAAAAAAAGGGTGGATTTGTACGATTTTGTTTCGCGGAGTTGCGATATATCAAAATAACCTATGCATTTTAATTTTAAATTATGCATTTTGAGCATGATACTGCAAAACATTATCGTATTTGAAATTTTCTTTTTATTTTAATTTACACTGGTTATCGTAAAATTTATGAAAAGAATTCCACTCATTAGAGTACGTCAAATTAAACGATTTAAAAAAATGCATAGGAGGGGAGAAGTAACTTCGATATGTCGCAAATTCGCAAAAAAATCATATAAAACCGCCTCTTTTTTTGCATGGAAAAGTCTATACTTTATGATGGTTAACATAAAATTTACAAACAAATTTAGTTCACCTCGTAAGATACGTCAAATTATGCAATTTTTTGGAGACACAACATGTCTTTACTTTTGACTGGCTTTATCTATTATATTATATTTCTAACGTTTAAGAAAATATAATAAACTTTTTATATATATTCACATCATATATAATAATTAACTCTTATATAACCTACCCACTATAATGATGTTGCCAGCTCTCTAAGAATTAATAATTATAATTTTTATTTGCGTGCTATTTAAAAATGTGCAATATGAATGTTTGTGAGTATTAAAAACATATTTCCCACACAGCATATCTTTCAAAATGCTTTTCGAAAGATAATTTGAAAATTATATTGAAATATAATATTGAAATAATTCAAAAATATTTGTGAAACGTTTCATCAAAATCTTTTTCACTAAAATATTTCAAAAATTGTTTATAATAAACATTGATTTATATATTTATACATAAATTTAATTAATTTAATTAAATTTTATATGGTTAGGTGGATTTGTTTTCATTGTTTAATTGTACTGTTTTATAATTACTCAAAGTTTATAGTATTTTATGACTATATATTTAATAACAGTTAATAAAAAATTTTTTACTAAAAAATTTTTTACTTAAAAATTTAAAGATAACGAAATAGAATGTGCAGAATTTTAGAAAAGAGTTAAATTAACACATACAATAAAATTTTAAAAAATGTAATTTTTATTAAAATGAAATTAATTTTATTAAATCATATTATCAAAAAGTTATATTACTGTGTTAATTACAACACATATAGACAAAATGTAAGACTAATAGAAATATTTGAAAGACCTATAAGGAGCCAAGCACGGATGCTTAGTGCCATTAGATGTTAATACTGTTTTAATTTCGGTCTAAAGTAAGACGTTTACATCAATCGAAGATTGTGGTGTAGTGTCTAAAGCAACATACTCCTAATCCAAAGGTGCCTCCAGGGCAGTGATAGAAACTTTGCTCCGCGAGCAACACGCATCAGCACGGAAGGGGATATCCATACACTCACACAACCGTATCCATAAGCCACACGGACACGGTCGCATGAGTGTGCGCGTAGTATCCCCTCCTGTGCTGATGCGTGTTGCTCGCGGAGCAAAGTTTTTATCACTACTCCAGGATCCAAGTTCGAGTCACACTAGTGCCAGTGAGAATTTTTAAATGTGATGTAACATTGAAATCAAGTAATGTAAAATTTCCAGTAAAATCTGCAAACACTGTGACATTTACGAATAGTTTCTAAATATAAAAATACCAATAGTTTGTGTATATAGAAAAAAATATCTGAAATATTTCCCATATATTTTTGAAACACTTCAGATATATTTCAGGTAGTACATCATAGCGGACATTTTATATATCTGAAAGATATCTAAAACATGTCTGAAATATTTCTTTGTCTGAAATGTTTCATATTTTATAATGAAAGTTTTTTTTAAATATGTTGGTGGGTTTGTACTCGTAGCTAAATGCACGTTTGCACGCCTCAAATTTCCGTTGCAATGCACTCATTTATTACTCAAAAATACACTTAATAGTACATTTTTACTACTCCTTAGTAATCCATAATCACCACTCGTTTTTAGTAAAAGTGCCCCTTTCCGATCTATAAACGGGGTCATACTCGCTGTGTTGAATGCACGTTTTTACTACTCAAATTAAACATTTTCGAGGGCTAAAATTGGTGAAATATTTTTATAAGAGTAATTACAAATAATGATTTATGTGAATTATTCGCTATAATTCTTTTAATAGTAATTAGTTTTATATTTAAATATAACTATATTTAATATTAGTTTTATATTTAAATATAACTGTTATATATTAAACATAACTGTTATATATTTAAACATAATTGTTATATATTCAACATTTAAACTGTTATATTTAAATATTAAATAATATTTGTGTACTTCATAATACATATTAAAATCTTAAGATATAAAAATATACCTGATAGGTAAACAGTTATTTTCTTCGAGATTGTTCAGAGTTTCCTTGTCGCGGAAAATAAATCTGCCTTCTCCATGGGCTATCCATATTCCTAGCACACTGCCCTCCATTGATTTTAGCATAATCGAAGGCGAGTTCTCTATTTTAACAGTACTCCACCGGCATTCAAATCTCTCAGAGAGGTTATGGTCTAAATAAATAGCTCCTTTTTCTGTCTCATTGCCTCCTTTTTCTGTCTCATTGCCTACCCATCCTAACAAGCTCATTAGCTGACAGCCATTACAAATTCCTAAACTGAAAGTATTTTTACGAGTAACGAATTGTCGTAACTGTTCACGTAGAGATGGATGGAAAAGAAGACTCGCTGCCCATCCTTTAGCAGAGCCACAAACGTCAGCATAGCTAAAACCACCGGGAAAGATAATGCCCCGAAAAGCCTCTAGAGTAACGTGATTCTCCAGCAGATCCTGCATTGTAACATCCCAGACATCAAAACCAGCTTCCAATAAAGATGCAGCCATTTCTCTGTCACCATTAATTCCTTCTTCTCGAATCACAGCTACCCTTATACATTTTGATATGGAACGATATACTGTAAAATCATAATCAATTCTTTTAATAGGATCGAAACTGAGATGATAAGCAGGAGCCGTTCGTTCTCGAAGTCCGACAAACTCCTCCAGAGCATAATCGACGTTCATTTGATAACGTTCCAATTGATAACTGGTTTCTTCCCAAATAGTCATCGATTCAATGACCGTAGTATTCAACACAATCTCATTGCGCACCTTAACAATTATTTCCGTATTCATTCCAAAGCCTATAGATTTTCCAATTAGATACACAGAGACTTCGTGCTGTTGAAACATTTTTATTGCTTCTTCATAATGTATTTCATCGACTTCTAATACCCAACCAATTTCTTCGGAAAATAAAACGTCAACAGCAGGCGCAGATCGATGACTTATATTGACGTTTATCCCGGAAATGCTAGCAAAGCACATTTCTAAAAGACACGTAACTACTCCACCATCACTCACATCATGACCAGCGAGTATTTTCCCATCTCCAATTAACTGCTGCGTGCAATTAAAGGCGTTCCTGAGAGTTCGAGCGTCCTCAACATCTGGCACGTCATTGCCTAATTGATTATATACTTGAGAGAAGGCCGTTCCACCAAGTCGACTCTTGTCACGGGACAGGTCAACAAAAAGTAGACAACCTTGTCGTCCTGCCGCAGGAGCCTTCAAATCCGGAGTAACAACATATCGAACATCAGGACATGGCGCGTAACAGGAAATGACGAGCGTACCAGGTGCCTTAACGATTTTCTCATCAACTCGTGCAGCCATACTGAGTGAATCCTTACCGCCGTCAATCGCGATTCCAAGCTCTTTCATTAGCGAACACATCGCCATGCAAGCTTCATAGAGCGCTGCGCCCTCACCAGGAAGCTTAGCTGGCCACATCCAGTTGCCACTGCATTTGACATCTTGCAGATTAGAGATTCGCGCAAACACTAAATTACTTACAGCCTCAGCCACCGTCATACGAGCACCAGCCGCTGCGTTTATCAATCCCTTTATAGGTTGTTCGCCGATAGAAGTTGCAATACCCTTCATGGAGAAATATGAAATAGCTGTCACAGCAACATCTGCTAATGGAGTATGTAGCGGACCAACACATTGCTGTTGAGCTACTAAGCCTGTTACGCAACGATCCACCTTGTTGGTTAGGTATCTAACAAATATAATATCTTATTTATTATCGTAGCTGTAACATTTTCATAATATTTGATTTTTTTAGAAATAGAAAAATATAATATTTTATAAGAAAATATTGTCAAATCAATCTATAATTAAAAGTCTATATTAAATCTCAATCTATAATTAAATACAGATTAATCTATAATTAAAAGTTCAATAACTGTTAAAGAGACGGGCTTTCTTACTAATTCAACTCAAACTTTGCAATCTTGTGACTTTTAATACATAAAATACGAATATCGTTTTCAAATAGAACAAAAGTTTTAAAGTGTTAAAAGACGATAAATGTTAGATTAAAAAATTTGTCGTACTAATGATACAAAGATATGACATATTAAAGTCCAATCAAAATGAAAATACAATGGGTCACGTAACAGTGATGTAACTGGCAAATTATAAATATAACATAAATTATAAATATAACATAATTTGAAATTTTAAATGATTTTGTTTTGTGTTGTTATAAGCCATCATATCAAAAGAAAACTGCACGAATTTTTAGCAGATACGACAAAAAGAAACTAATAATAAATTACTTAAAAGAATATAAATTTATACATGATAAAATATATGGTCTTAAATGCAATAACAAATTAACACTCAATAAAAATAATTTTACATTTTGTTGTCAAAAAGTGTTTTATGAAAGAATAAGCATTAAAAAATAGAAAAACAATGCACTTTCAAAATAAGTGTAAAATCAAATCTATAGTTTGCCAAATCAAAATTAAGCTTACCGTATACAGAATGACTGCATATTTAATCATGTTAAAGCCTCCACGATAAGATTTCTTACTTACAGAATTATCTGTAAATAAAAAAGATCTGAATACCGTTCAACAAACAATGCTCGTGTCCTTATTGAGTTTTACTGACTTTCTCCATAAAGATCTTGTTACGTTCTGTGGATTCCATACTATATATTTATTAATTCCATTCGAATTATCGCGAGCCAAGACGAACGCATATGGTGAGCCATGTTCCTTACGATCGATAAGAAACATAGACCAACACAATCCTAGAACTCATAGAATTCATAGAATATCCGATTGTAAAAATTGAGATTGTTTACGCATCTACCATGCCGATGACGTTCACTGTATATGTCCGTTGAAACCCCAAGTTATTAAACCTGAGACTCTACACGAAAAAATTTAGTGATAAACATGGACTGCCATACTTGAACTCCTATAGGATTCTAAACTAACAAGGCCCATCGCAAATCCAAATGACTGTTATCTAATCGATTGTTAGAACAGAATCCAATACGTGATTTATAAGTAAACTCTACGCGCTGGTAAATATCAGGACAGTCATAAAAGTCCGCAACTTTATAGCCCTATCAGACAGACTTATTATCATGTCTCCACACATCTAATACACACAGTTGCACTTATAACACTTCCCCAGAATTTTTTCAATATCAAAGTATCTGTACCTATCAACCCCTACAATACTATACTCAACCAATCATCTTAGACTATATACATAAAGGGTACATGGGGTTGAATCCCCTATAGCGCATTGCGTCCAAACACCCGGGGGCTGCCAAAAAATTGATGTCGACCCCGAGGCTTATTTGTATTATTTGCACCGGATGAGGAGGGGCAACGGTGGAGACGGGCATACATGAACAGCAGGTCTTAAAGAATAGCAATCTTTAACTTTGAGAGACTGACAGCTGTACTATTTGATACATTGTTTCTCTCTGTAGTCGCCGTGCGCCTCGAGATCGCGCCCGAAATGTCGCTTCCGAACGACATCTCTGAGCGTTATCTAGGAAGGGGAGAGTGCCGTGAGTAACCACTGAGCTACCTGAACGTCAGGTAGCTCAGTGGTTTAGAACAGTCACCCGGCAAGCGAAAGACCCGGGTTCGAGTCCCGGCCTAGCAAAACCGCGCTCTCGATATTTTTCTCTCTCTGGAACGAATAGATACGCAGATCTCGAACACATGGCGTCCCGCCGCCACCTAGTACGCCCTCCTTCTATACAATGCGCCATGGGGGATACCACTCTCCTCGCCAGTTAAAACCATAACGTTGATTCAAGGTTGATTTGACGTCGAAATGATCGATGAGTAGTTGAAACAATGTTGATTCAACCCTCATCAACGTCAAATCAACCTTGAATCAATATGTGGTTCTGACTGGGTCCCACTATTGTATCTAATAAGAAAATTCGTCCCGCCCAAACTAAACGCTGTTCCTTCAACCTAATTATCGAAATCGTAAAACTAATTTCCTAATCATCATTGGCTAATCCGTTAATCTTATCCTACCCCGGAAAATTTCTGCCTTGAAAGCACCACCTCCGACCCAGTACAAAAGTACTTATAAATACTGCGACGATCATGTTATGCAATTCAATGCATTCGACGCGATTCAGTTTTATTCTACACAATTCAATTATATTCGATCCAGAGGATCAATAAAGTTAGCAGTAGAGTCTAACATTAGAACAGTAGAGTCGACTACAGTAAGAGAACCGTGAAAATAAGAGAAAATCCTAAGTAAAATCCAGTGAGTGTCGTCCTGGTCGCAAGCCTTAGACGGAAAAGCGATCAACTCCTATCTAGTCCGAAGGTGCTCCGCTGAACTTGAGAGATCAAGACAAGAGCAGATCGAGCAAAGGTATTAAGAACCGACCCATCCGTAATAACTCCTTTCCGCCCCCTGCTAACCCATGTCAAAAGTAAGTTCAGCATTTTGTTTTCATCCCACAGTCCGAAGCTCTCTTATCTATTTAATTGAAATAATTCCGAGTCTGATATTCGTTTCTTCCTTCGAGATTTTCATACGAAATCACAATTATTTTAGTGGGTTATGCTTACCACCTATACACCACCTTCGAGCACATTAAATTTCTGATTTTAAACTGAAAAAGGTCTAAACCAAAAACCGAAACGTTTATATAAAATTTTTGTAGCAAATCTATTGCTATATAACAATATAGCAATATAAATATATTATAAAATTTTTGTAGCAAATCTATTGCTATATTACAATTTTGCACACTACCTTCTTGTGATTAACTTTTATAAACCCTATACTTGTTGGTAATTGTATGTCAATTATATATCGTGGTGCAAGCCGGCTAGGCGATCAATCGATAACGACGATAATTGCTAAACTGGTAGTAATAATTTAAAGACGCTGATGGCTTATAAGCATTAAGAAACCGAGAGAACAAAAACGACCGTCGAGATAATCGATTTTTTTCCCGAGCTATTATAAGATCATATATAATCAGTTGGATTGTATAAAAATTGATCAATACAAAACAAGAAACGATTCGTATTCAATATATTCGAGTTCCTACAATATTGTTATTGATTTTTAATCTTAGAGCCTTTTTAAAAACTTTTTTGTAAATATCTACATTTCTTACTATAAATTATAGAGTTTATAGAAGAATTAAGTAGTCTCAGACTGTAACATCAGTAGATCTGTCAGAAGATGATCAATTCATTTAGTTTAACTCTCCTGTGATTTTGGTGACAAATTCACCTAAAAATTTTTCATTTGCTGAGCAAATAGATTATTACGTCCTAAAGAAGAACGCAACCAAATAATTGCTTACAATAAGTTTCGTCCGCACACGAACGAGAAGCAGATCAGCGGCCAGAAGAGTCGCTTTATACGCGCAACGACGTACGACAAGCGATCCTTTTTAGATCAGGGACGCAAATCTAGTTAGACAAAGATGGATAATCTCTCCTTGTCTCACTAAAGGCAAACTGACAGGCGCAAGTCAGCGACGCACGCCACACTGACCATTTTTGCGTGCCATTTGTTGGTATGGAAGTAAGTAGGTTGAGTAAACAACCCCTTTTAAGTACATGAAAACCAATTTATTTGTACATACAAAGTGAGTCAAACTAACAAAAGGTAAAAAGTAAAACGCACAGACATAGAGCGGGGTCGAAGAAGAAACATAAATTAAAAGTTAAACCTAGAGACGAAACTCTCTCTCTCGTTCCCTAGCAACTAATAATATAGTGACAACTGTATTACGATTATACTACTTACTTTCAGATCACTAGATAAATAAGTACTAACATTTGGGTGTATATCAGTTGGACACGGGGCAATTGAACACAGTCCAATCACAAGTCGCTGTTCCAAGGGACCCTACAAATGTCTCTAATCATACGGTGCTGTGATTGGCTGTGTCCAAATGCACCGTGTCCAAGTGCACCGCTCCTCTAACATTTCCCCCACTTAATCTCAAGGTACAAACAAAAATTTTCTATTATTACATAAGACTACTACTTTCATTACAAAATTTTATTTTTGCGTTATTAATCTCTTTAGTTAACATATCCGCAGACATTTCATTACTCGATAAATAACACAAATCAGTTATCCCGTTAGCAATACTTTGTTCAACAAATCTATACTTTATATCTATATATTTTGTTCTTGGTTAAAAGTTACCGGATTGCCCTAAACGAATTATGCTTTGATTGTAACAATATAATTGAATTTTGTCACAAGCCTGTAGTCCAAGATCAGTTAAAAGTGTTTTTAACCATGAGGCCTCCTGGCACGCTGCTGTGATCGCTAAGTATTCCGCCTCGGTTGTTGAAAGAGAGACGGTCGCCTACTTTTTACTGCTCCACGAAATTGCAGACCCAAGACTGAACACGTATCCTGTTGTTGATCTACGTGTATCCATATCTCCGGCCCAATTGGAATCACAATAGCCCGTTAGATTGAAGTCTATCAACGTGCTATATGTCAGCTTATAATCAATGGTGCCACGGATATATGTAGGACTCGTTTCAGTGCACCCCAATGTGCCTTTTCAGGATTTTCAGCATAACTTCCTAGAAACGTTATTGCGTATCCGATGTCTGGTCTAGTGCATTGATATGCAAACATTAAGCTGCCTAAAAATTCTCTGTAAGGATATTTTTGCATCGTGACTCTTTCTTCTTCTTTGAGACATATATCTTTGCACAAGGTTTGGTT